GGCAGGGCAGGGCCGCCGCTCCGCGCCCGCGTAGGCCGTCTGCTCCGCCCGGTGCCGTGCCGTGGGGGGGCATGGAGCCGCTGGTGCTGTACCACTGGACGCAGTCCTTCTCCTCGCAGAAGGTGAGGGGGGTAGCGGGGGCGCGGCGGCCTTCAGGCCCCGCATTGCCGCCTCTCGGGAGGGTGGTGGCAGCCCCTGCTCGCCCGCAGCGAAACGGAGGAAGGGAGGGCAGCGGGGGTGGCCTCCAACCGCGGCAGAGCCGAGCGGGGGGAGCCAGGGCTGGGCCGGGCCGGGGGACAGCCGCCCGGGGTGGGGTTCCCTGAGGTAACCCCGGTGATCCCGTTGCAGGTGCGCTTGGCAATAGCCGAAAAAGCTCTGAAGTGCGAAGAGCACGATGTAAACCTGCCGCTGAGTGAGCACAACGAGCCGTGGTTCATGCGCTTAAATTCCTCTGGAGAAGTACCCGTTCTGATCCATGGAGAAAACATCATTTGTGAGGCAACGCAGATTATCGATTACCTAGAAGCAACGTTTGTAGATGGTAATCCCATAGGTGCTTCGGTGTGAAGTCCTTCCCCATGTACTCATTTGTTAGCTCTGTATCGCTACAGGAAAGACATTGACGTGCTGGACGGCATCCAGAGAAGGGCAACAAAGCTGGTGAGGGATCTAGAGAGGAAGTCCTATGAGGAGCAGCTAAGGGTTGTTTAGCCTGGAGAAAAGGAGGCTCAGGGGAGACCTAATAAGGTCTCTCTACAACTGCTTGAAAGGAAGTTGTAGCAAGGTGGGCATTGATCTCTTCTCCCAAGTAACAAGAGGTAGGACAAGAGGAAATAGCCTTAGGTTGCATCCAGGAGGTTTAGATTGGATGTTAGGAAAAATTTCTTCACCAAAAAGGTTGTCGAGCATTGGAACAGGCTGCCCATGGAAGTGGTTGAGTTGCCATCCCTGGAGGTATTTAAAAGATGTCTAGATGTGACACTTTGGGACATTAGTGGTAGAGCTTACAGTGCTAGGTTAATGGCTGGACTTGATTATCTTAAAGGTCTGTTCCAACCTAAGTGATTTTATGTTTCTGTGCTGATTCATTCAGGACCAGAAAATGTTTGTAGTCTCACAAGTAAATGTACTTTCCTGATAGTTTGTAGCATGGGGTAAAACCGCCTTCCTTTAAGATAAACTGAAGGCCTTCCATCACCTTTAGAAGCAGCTGTAAGTGAAAACCTACCACTGTCCTCTTTATCGCTCCAGGAAGGATGGAGAAGGCAGTAATGACAGCACTGCTCTGTGCTAACCCTGTGGTAAAACTGCAGCGAAAAATAATGTGTTGAACAGAGAGATGCACAACTGCCGTTGTCAGGCAGGTCTTGCTTCTCTTCAAGAGAAAAAGAAAGATGCTTAATTCCAGAGTAATCTTGGGTATGAAAAGGAAATAGAATGAGTGAATATTTTGGAGACAAAATGGAGTGAAGAGGTAAAATAGGAAGAAAAAAGTCGAAAGTGATCACGTGCAGACTTTTAAAATTCTTTGTGTTTATATTGCCACAAAATAGACTGCTTCAATTTTTGAAGGAAACACAGAGCTGTATTTTTTTTAGGTGTGAGGAGGCAGCATTTTGCATTTAAGGGGTTTACCTCTGTGATTTCTGAGGCATGAAGAAAATTTCATTTTTTGGAGAACATAGTATGTATTTAATGCTGGCTTTTTCATCAATTGAGGAGTCGAGGTCCAGGTAGATCAAGGGCAGGGTAGAAGTCAGTAATGTGCAGGAATACTTCTAATCATGCTTTGAGTAGGATTGCTCTCCTGCTAATTTTTACAACATTGCAGTTGTAGTAGTATTTCAGCTATAGCAACTTACTAGAACTGCAGTTGTGCCCTGTTTTGAGAGGGCTAAAGGACTGAGTGTCACCCATTCCTAGTGGGAGATGTCCCTGCCCGTGGCAGGGGCATTGGACTGGATGATCTTTAAGGTCCCTTCCAACCCAAACCATTCTATGGTTCTATGATTCTGTGATTCTATGCTGAATCCGTTTTTCTGATTTTTCTTTTCTTAACTTTGTTTTTAACTTTGTGTTGCAGAGGATGTACCAAGACTAATGCCAGAAGAAGGGAGCATGTATTATCCAAGGGTGCAACACTATAGAGAGCTTTTAGACTCCTTGCCTATGGATGCCTACACGCATGGCTGCATCCTGCACCCTGAATTGACAGTGGACTCCATGATTCCAGCCTATGCTACCAGCAGGATTCGTAGTATGTACTGGTACAGCTCTGAATGCCTAGCAGTTAATAGGATGTTGCATTACATTCAGTTTGTGTTTTCAGTGCACTGTAAGCAGAACATATCAAACAGATTTCCAATTTTAGTTGCATTACTTGATAATTTGTGCTTGTACTTTTCATTGATTTTGTAGTCTGTTGTGTTTTCAAAACAGGAAAGAGAAATTGTCATTTTTGAGGTGTTTGTGGAATTAATTTTCGTAATGATTGAAAATGTGCTTCTTGTGCGTAACAGAAAATGGCAGCTGTGACAGTTGGGAGTATTTTATTTTCTGATCTTCCTATTTATGTTTATAGAGCACTTTTTAGGGAACAGCTCTATTCTCACATCAAACCACTATACTTAAGGAAACCCATTTTTTGTGATTGCAAACTTGAAATAACTTTACCTATTAAACTAAAGCAATTGCTTTCCTCTAAAAGTGGTGCAAATGCAGATTAACTTTAATGAAACAGAGTCTGTTATATTATAAGAGAATCATCAGGCCTGTTCTATCTGAGGCATACACTAGTGTCAACTTGGTGCTAGGCATAGTGAGAAAAAAAAAGTATGCAGAATTAAGTAGCTTGGATTCATCAGACCAATGGAAACGGTTAAAGCACAAGTTAAACCAAAATCCCTGTGCAAATAACGCAACAGTATCAAATCAGGATCAAGGATGAACAGGTGGTCTGGTAAAATCAATGGTAAAATGTCCTTTGACTTCCTTGGGATTGTTATTTTCCCTGATGGACTTACATATAGATACCAGTTTCCTCATGAAAAAAATACGTTAAGGGCAGAGGAAATAACTGTAGATTATGTTTCCCAGTTCCCTTTGTAATAGACAACCTACTCTGCTGAAATGAACTTCAGTTTCAAATGCAGTAGTTTGCAGAAATACTTAGTTAAAACAACGTTCAGTGATATTCAGAAAAATCCTTGGCAAATAATCTTTCAGTTCTTACAGGTTTTTGTTTGTTTGTTTGTTTTCCCCCTGTGTTTGGACACCAGAACTGGACAGCAGATTCTGTATCAGATAGGGAGATAAATATTGAAGTTTGTTTGTTTGTTTGTTTTTTACTGCATCTATGTTCAAGGACTCCAGTGTTACTTTCAGCCACAGAACTGCACTGGGAATCCTTGTTCAGTTGATTGTGGATCATGACCTCAGTCTGGCTTCTCAGAACTGCTTGCGAACTTACAGCCGAGAAACACGACCTGTATCTTTTTCATCCATTTATATTTTACATTGGGCTGTGTTGGAACATCGATTGGTTGCTTAAGCCCTGCTTATCAACCAGTCTAGATCACTGGGTATCAGTGCCATGTTTTTATTTGATTTATGTCCCTTCTAGTCTTTGGCCCATGGCAAACTTTAATTAATGCTTTTGTGTTTCCTTCTAAGGATTACGAAAGAGCTAAATAGTTCTAGGACAAGGATCAAATCCCGAGAACGTGGCTAGATGAGGATTCCCTGTTTATAGTTATGTTCTGAGATCTCTGATTTTTTTTTTCTCAGTGTTAGTGCTCTGTATCGTGTTTATTTTTTGTATGGTATTTTAGAATGCTCCACAGAACAACAATAATGCAGGGACTTTTTATTGATCAGTTCCTGTGGATTATATTATGGGTATGTTCAGATATCTAATGTAATTCCTTTGTCTTTTTTGTATCAGGCCAAATAAGTAACACAGAATCAGAGCTGAAGAAACTAGCGGAAGAAAATCCAGACCTTCAAGATGCCTACATAGCAAAACAGAAGCGCCTTAAAGTAAGAAACCCCTTTGTATTCCCCTTTATTATTAATTTGATTTTTTTTTCTGTCACGATGTAAATGTTTGTTTCACCTGTCATCACCAGTAATCTCATTCAGTGGTTTAACCCTACAAGGCACCGAACAGTCTGTCCCCCAGGTCAGCTACACACTTCAAGTGTGTGCTGAAGTATTGGACTGGTCACACTGACTTCAAAAGTTAAGTACAAATAAGTGCTGCCTTTGGGCTGTTGAGCACCCTGCAGGGTGAGGCAAACCTTGGTATCTAGCACCTTTAATGTTTTTCTTCTGTTATCTGAATTGTCACCAGTATCCCAGTGTTATCCAGCTATGTGGAGAAAATAAGCACTGTAGTAAGTAAAAGTTTCTCTGATAAAAAAATAAACTCTGCAAAATGATTGAATCACTAACCAGTATGTATATTTAGTCTAAGCTGCTGGATCATGATAATATAAAATACTTAAAGAAAATACTGGATGAACTGGAAAAAGTTTTGGATCAGGTTGAGACTGAATTGCAGCGGCGAAATGAGGAAACACCAGGTAAGGAATTATTCTTGCTAAATCCTGTTGATTCTTATGTTTGGGGAGTCTGAGTAAACATTTTGACAGCACCATTATAGGACTGATTTTATGTATCCTGTTTTATACTTTTAGCATATACTGATTTAACATCACAGAAGAGATATATACTGTTAAATACTAGCTTAGTTTACTACTGTTGTCAGCAAGTTCTCACTGTCTTATGAGACTGCTTGATCACATTTTCAGCATAGTAAATATAATTAGCTACACAATTTTGCTGCATTTTGTCGACAAAATTAGAAAATCCCTAATTACAGGATATTCTTGATGTTGTTGATGTCAGTTAACTATAATGATCATGACCTTAATGTTTAACACAGGTTTATTATGAGCTTTTTTAAATACTGTGCTGATATTTGTAGTATATGCAGAACTAGCTATCTGGATAAGTGCTCTAATCGTTAATCAACCTCCCTCCTCCACCCTCTTGGAAAGTAGTGGTGTTTACCTGCCGTCCACCTAAATAAAAATTCAAATTTCACAGAATCACAGAATATTAGGAGTTGAAAGGGACCTTGAAAGATCATCCAACCCAACCCCCCTGCCAGAGCAGGATCACCTAGACCACATCACACAGGAACGCGTCCAGGCGCATTTTGGATGTCTCCAGAGAAGGAGACT